TTTTTTCTAGTTTCAGTTGGAAAGGGGAATTCTTCACTTCCTGCCCTAAATCTGTTCTTTACATGTTGCTGAACTTTCCTAGAGAATTAAGAGATCCATTTGCCTAGGATGTACATCATTAAAACTCAGTAAACCTTCAGAATAACAGTTGGCTTACAAACAAATACAATTATTCATAAATCAAGTTGAAAAAGGCAATACCATGGTTATTTATGCCTTAGAGCTAAGAGATTCATATTCCTGAAAAGTTCTCTTCCTATTTTTTCTCCCTCTGTATTCAGACATATGTTGTTTATTAATGCTAAGCCAGTTCTTTTCTGTGGCACAGTCTTCCTCCACAAATTGCTGTGTACCATTATCCCTGTCACTGGCACTACCATGCTTTTGGGGTGGGGTGGGGTATGCAATTGAGATGTGCAATGTCCGATTCAGTTTCTTGGCTTTACAAAAATGCCAATGAACTATTTCAAGGACTGGCTCACAGTACACATAAACACAAATCAGGAGTCTGACAAGTCATATGCATATGCCTTAATGTAGAGGTGTCAAACTCACCTGGAGTCCCAAGCTGGATTTAGATGGTGGGGCTCCTTGCAGGCTGGATTCAGCCTGGGTTATGGTGGTGGTAATTGTGGCCACCATAACAGCAGTGGATCTGGAGGCAGAAAGGGTCCAGCAGTAGTAGCATTGGTGGGTCTGAAGGTGGCAAGGAGGTGATGCCTACTGGTAGAGGGAGGGGTCCAGCAGAAGCACTCGGTCCAGGGGAAGGGGTCTGGGGATGGGAGCAACAAGCCAAGATTACCGCTAATGGTTGTGGCCAGGACAGTCAAAGGGCCCCAAATCCCATAGCAAGTCACTTCCCTCAACTTCCAGTGGTGTGCTAGTATCCCGACAGGTCAGATAGGGAGACTCCACAGGTCAGATTCATCCTACAGGTCATCGGTTTGCCACCCTGGCTTTAATGAATGGCTCAGATGGTACATGACTAATCTCTCATCATAGGTTCATGTGAATAGAGTGAATATAATATGTTGTTAAAATATGTTAGGATACCTTATATAGTATAACTCTGCTTCCCACCCCCTAGTTAACCAGTTAAATGCTGGAACCTTAGCTATACAAATCCACCATAATCATATGGCATTGATTCTTGACACATAAGAAAGATGTATAGCTGATGATTTTCTTTGTACATGATAAACAGGAACTTGTGAACTTGCTTCTGACTGGCAAAGCTGTGTCCAATGTGTTCAACAATGTGATAGAGCTGGACTCTGGAAATGGCAACATCACTATATTAAAAGGCATCACTGGACGCAGTGATATCGGCTTGCTGTCTCTCTTTGAGCACTATGATGTTTGCCAGGTACGTCCTGAGGGCTTTTGGATTTAATTAAAATGGGAAACAACTTAAAAATCTGAAACTAGCACAGAATGCAGCGAGCTTGTAAGGTGCCTTACACAATGGGGAGCCAATTTATTCGAGTCATCCAGCTGATGGAATAAGACAATTTATAACAACAGTGGTACAGTGTACTCCAATTATATGCATGCCCAGTAAATGCATAATTCATTTAAGTACCTGTATATTGGCAATTCCCATGTAACTGTCCTTTTCTTTATAACAAATATAACTTATCCACATATTGCTTAAGTGCGCATACATTTAAATGCATAGTTTGTTTCAGCTCCAATGTCGACTTTGCCACCTAATTAACTGGGTAATAATTGGCATTGGCATTGATGAAGGGGAAACAGATGTCGAAGCACTGCTGTTAGAAGCCTTGAAAATGATAGCAGCTAGTCAGTTTTGCAGTTATCTTTGCCCATTTTCTAGGCATCCATTAGCCATAAAACTGACTAGCTCTCCCTCATTTTCCATGCTTCTAATAGCACTAGTCACATTAGGTTTGGGTAAGTGCACAGCCTTTTATCAATCCTGAGCCTATGCCCTTAAACAGAGTATCCTGTAATACTTGAAACAGAGACTGGCTAGCATCATAAATAATCACGTTTCTTTTACCATACACTTTTGAAACTAGTATTTCCTTTACCTTAGTAATAAAAATGCAAAATGACAATGGAAGTTCAATATAACAGGGATGAAAGAGTTAGGCAGGTGGCAGGGTAGATGTGTTCCTTGAAGACTGACTAAATCAGAGATGCGTAAGCCTTTGTAAGCGGCAGCTTATTTCATCAGATACGATGAAGGGACTGCAGAGAGCAGAGTTTCTAAAAAGAAAGCAGTGATTTGACTACAAAAAAAAATAGAGAAGGGGAGGAAAAAGGAGAGAGCAATACTGGGAGAGGCAAGGTGGGTAGAAGAAAGAAAAACAAAGCAGCTAACCCATGGAGGTAGGGATTATAAAAGCTAGTCTGGGGAGTGGGAGAAGAATCCAGGTTTGGACCATACTTAACACAATCCAGACTGTGGGTGATTTCTTGTTCCATCATTTCCCGTTCAAATTCATTTTTTAAGTTTAGTTGTGTAAGAACAGCGACCCCGAGGGCAGCGCTGGAATGTCTAGGGAGGTTAAAGTGTTTGCCCACAGGCTGGTGTGTCTTCCTAGAGCTGATGTCAGCTCCATGTTCATTCATTTTTACACGTAGCACTAGTCTCTAATGTGCAAATGCCTTCTTCCTGACTTCAGGCTAATACAGCTACCTACCTGTCTCTGCTTATGGTCAAGTGTGAACCACTGGGAACAATTTATCCATAGACCTGGTAGATGCTCCATCACTTGAAGCCATTAGGTCAGAAATGGGGTCATCCTTAAAGATAAGGTTTTATCTCAACTAGAAGCTACTGAGTTTGCTTCAGGAATGTTGTTTAAAATCTCTGTCCAGTGGTATGCAGATCAGAACAGATCATCTGTACGGTCCCTCCTAGTTTTATAACCTCTGCATCTCAGAAAAATAAGTAATTCCCAAAGAATTTGATTTTATCAGTCTGAGCTGAAACACAAAAAGGAAGCTTACAGTGAGCTAACTCACAAAAAGAAAGCTTACAAGAAGTGGAAACTTGGGCAAATGACTAGGGAGGAGTTCAAAATTCTTGCTCGGGTATGCTGGGATGAAATCAGGAAAGCCAAAGCGCATTAGAGTTGCAGCTAGCAAAGGGATGTGAAGGGGAACAAGAAGGGTTTCTACAAGTA